GTCAAATCGAAGTTGGATGGCCTGGCAAGGAAAGATCTCCTGGCGGCAATCGACTTCTTTGAAGAAGGAATTACTTTATTGTATGATCTGCCTCAATTGGAATACTCACCAGGGTACGATGTTGAAGATAATGTGGTTTCTCTACCTCAGGCAATGTCCAACTTGAAACTGACCCAAAGCATGGATGAAGCCTCAACATCAAATCTTTCTAGAGCCAAGAAAAGGTTCGAAGATTCTCGTAGGAAAGCAACAGAAGCGTTTAATGACGAAGCATTAAAACCTTCCGACCGCATCGCGGCAATGGGATACCGAGTTATGGCTACGGTGCTGGAAACAGTAGACAATCCTACAGCCGCTTTATCAGCTTGCAGATTGTGCATTGAAAGATTGCACTCACTACCAGCGGTTCAAAATTGTTTTTCCGTCGAACTTAAGAAGGGTCTTCGTGGCTGGTTCAGCAAAGATGAACGCAGAGAAATCATTACAGCTATATGTCGTGTAAATCGCGTCATCTATGATGTAACGTGTATCGTTTATGGCTTTGGCAACAAAGAATTACAAGACATCACACAAACCTGGCCTTGTATTGATATTGACAACGGAAGTACGAATGTTAATCCAATGATTGACGAAAGGGTTGCTAATACTCTACGAAAGCGAGGAATGAACCACTTCTCCGCGCGCTGGTCATTTGGTCAGGAAGGGGAAGAGAAACAGAGGCTGAAGCAGCCTGGTGGAGTGGCAACAAACACGCAGGGGGGCTTTATTGTTACCGACTATAACGATCGTAACGTAAAGGCGTTTGACAGTACTGGAAAGTTTTTATACTCATTCTACCCCGGGGCTAACGAGAAGGCAAAAGATTACAAAGATGGATTAATTCATGATGTGGCGACTGACAAGAAAGACAATATCTACGTTCTCCTGACACTCAAGATGCCTGGAGCTGACGAAGAAAAGTCTTTTGTATACTTAAAAACGTCGGATCAATTTCTTCCTCTCAGGGGTGGGTTCAGGTCATGGTCTTTTGGATGTTCTTCACTCGCAATAAGCGACAACGACAAAGTGCTGGTACGCGGAGGGATGATTGGCGGGCACTACGTGGTTGACGTGTATGAGAAAGACGGTCAGTTTGTTAATCGTTTTGGAGAAGGCATCTTGAAAGGCGCTTCATCCATTGCCGCTGCTAATGACGGATGTATCATAGTAGCGGACCACGAGGGTGATTCGCATCATGTTTACACCTTTAGTGAAGAGGGGAAACGGCTTTCTAAGTTCACTGTGCAAAAATCGTACCACTACCCTCAAACGACGTTCCATCAAGCGAGTGAACATTTCGTTGTAGCTGGTATTGAAAGAGGAGCAGAACGTCGCCTGCAAATCATGATTTACACCAAAAATGGCGAAATTGTGCGGAGCATTGAGCACAACGAAATTGATGTAGTTTACTTACGAGGTATTGCAGTTAGTGCGGATGGTCGCATAGCTGTGGTGTATAAACAAGCAAGCGAGTTCAAGATACTTGTGGTATGAATTGATATAAACTAGGGCGCTTACCATGCATTCGTCAGAGCTGGCCGACCAGACCAATGCAGTTGTAAAGAGAATTCCTTTATATATCAGTACTAGCTTATTATAGGAAATTAACGCGAATTTCGAAAATTCGTATTATTTCAGGTCGCGTTAATTTTTTTAAACGTTAATTTCCATTATTTTCGCCCCAAACTCTCGTCGGTTTACATTTGACATTCTTGACACCTTGGAAAAAGTGGTATTTTATGAGGGTGAAGACCCGCCAGTATCGGTGAAATTGTGAAGCAGATCCCTCGAAGAGACCAGATTTCTTTGCTTGACTCCCTCCCTACGTTTGGGGAAAGTACCAAGAACAAAGTCTCAATTACGGATTGCAAGTTATTAACTTTGTTCCTTTTTTCTCAACAAGTTTGGTTTCTTAGTTGTGAACGTCGCGTTAATTTCCTTCATTTCAAAATGGTATCCTCTCTTTCGCGTTAATTTCCTTTGTTGTTGTTTTACATTAAATTCGCGGTAATTTAAGTTCCAATTCCTTAATTTCATGAAGCGGTAATTTCCTATAATAAGGTATTCAGTCATATGATACGTGGTATACACCGAAATGACAGTTTTAGTGAAAATTTCGAGAAAAGACTTATCTTTCATTCTGAAAATCACCGGTCCGGCCGGCACCGGTTTTCTGACTTTTGGTAAGCACCCTCAGACTTGTCTAGAGTAGCTGTAGTAAGCATAGAACAGACGTCAGGCGAGAAGAGGGGCCACCAACTGGATCCAGCGGAGCTGAGTTTTAAAACATAAATTATTTTTTTAACGTTTTATCCCCCCAGAATGCAGAATCCAGGACTGTCTTGGATTCCCTTGCGTTAAAAACATAATTAATAATGGGATTCACACCATGGGTTATCCGGGTTTTTTGTCAATGGAACTTGGATTAAGGATCCCAATCGTTGGGATTCCAGATTCCTTGACCTGTATTTCGGATTCAAAAAACCAGTGTTCCGAATTCCACAAGCAAAATTTTTCGAATTCTTGATTCTTCAGGCAAAAATTTCCTGTTTCCCTTACGTGGGGCGAGTTTTGCCCTGTAAAATTTGTATGTGTAATCAAATGGTGACGAGTGAAATTAGGAAATAATTTCACGCGCGTTTTAAAGGCTCGGGAAATTATTAGGATTTGGACAAAACGCAAGTGAAATTATTCCCTAATTTCACAAGTATACCATTTGATTACCTATTAATATCATGGGTAACAAATTACGTTAGCAATCTTGGATTTTTTTATCCTATCGTCTGTTATGCGCATATGAAAATATTTCTATTGTATATGCGCAACATAAGTTTTCTATTTATTATTTATTATTATTAGTTAATCCTCCATTTTAGATTAGCCGCAATAAGGCTGCATAATTTCGGTCTTATTTCCCTGCCTTTACGTGCTTCCACCAAGAGAAGTTGAAACGAACAATAATCCTCTATGTCGTATATTGTAATTGATTTCATTTTTTTGAAATTTATATTTGTTCAAAAGTAAAATTAAAATTTCTTGACTTGTGCTCGCACAGCGTGACCAGCGCATACGTTACCCACAAGCAATGTTTTCCACAAACCCAAAAATTGTGAAAAGTTTTAAGCTAAAAAGGATGGCCAGTCGATTAACTTTAGTTTATGAATTTCGCAAAAAAAAAAAGAGAAAGAAAAAAGTGATTTTGCGCTCCCTGATAACTGTTACTTAATCGGTCATGACATTCGTTTGGCTCGAGAGCTAAAAAGCACTTCATAGAACGTGACCTTTATTTTTGACCAGCTGCTGGTAAAGGGTTAGGTGAGTCGTCATTTTTTATTATTTCCCTGCCCGACCCGAACTCAGTTTTGGTTCTAATTCCAACATAAACAGGCTCACCGAATAACAAACACGGACGGAAATTAAAATTAAGAAATGAAAGGCCATCTTATCTTCCCTTAAAACATTTAAATTTTTTGATTGCTGCAACTGTGTTAAAAAANTTTCTATTTATTATTTATTATTATTAGTTAATCCTCCATTTTAGATTAGCCGCAATAAGGCTGCATAATTTCGGTCTTATTTCCCTGCCTTTACGTGCTTCCACCAAGAGAAGTTGAAACGAACAATAATCCTCTATGTCGTATATTGTAATTGATTTCATTTTTTTGAAATTTATATTTGTTCAAAAGTAAAATTAAAATTTCTTGACTTGTGCTCGCACAGCGTGACCAGCGCATACGTTACCCACAAGCAATGTTTTCCACAAACCCAAAAATTGTGAAAAGTTTTAAGCTAAAAAGGATGGCCAGTCGATTAACTTTAGTTTATGAATTTCGCAAAAAAAAAAAGAGAAAGAAAAAAGTGATTTTGCGCTCCCTGATAACTGTTACTTAATCGGTCATGACATTCGTTTGGCTCGAGAGCTAAAAAGCACTTCATAGAACGTGACCTTTATTTTTGACCAGCTGCTGGTAAAGGGTTAGGTGAGTCGTCATTTTTTATTATTTCCCTGCCCGACCCGAACTCAGTTTTGGTTCTAATTCCAACATAAACAGGCTCACCGAATAACAAACACGGACGGAAATTAAAATTAAGAAATGAAAGGCCATCTTATCTTCCCTTAAAACATTTAAATTTTTTGATTGCTGCAACTGTGTTAAAAAAATATACCATATACTATTAGAGGTCGATGGTGACTGATACTGTGCCCACAATGCGTCTTATAATTATTCTTTACAGGCAGGCCTATATAACATGACAGTTTCTGCAAAAATACCTAAGGATTTATGACTCCTTATATAGGTTTCACGGAAAACTCCTTGAAGTGGATCCTCAAATTAAAGGAGCTTTGATACTTGTAAGATTCTGGTAAAATAATTTTTAGGACGTAAGAAGATCTTAGCAAGATTTTTTAAAGGATCCTGGACAATTTATTGAGGATCAATATCCTACAGTAGCCAACTTCTTTGAAAGATCCTTGGAGGCATCCTTTCATCCTTTAGAGCCCTCATGAATCTTGAAGGTTCTTAGCTACAGAACTGAGTAGTTTGAGAGATTCTCGAGGGCATAATTTTAAGCATCCTTGAAAAACACTCATTGAATCTTCAAGAATCTCAAGAAATTTTGCTAATGGACATCTTTTGTTAATGGGAACCTTTGAATAGGCCTGGAGACCACTCTTATGGTCATCAGTTGGACAACTTTCACTACATTTGTCAGTTAATTGTCATCTTTGAGGACTGCGCTATTAAAGGTTGTCTTAATTCGTGGACACCTTTGAATGCGTCTTACTCTTGAGGCAGCTGCTGTCTTTATGATATACATTACGGTATATATTTACGGTAATCAGTGAACTTCCGTTCTTCTTTCTTTTTTTTTTTGTAGTACTTAATATCGAATAAATACCAGTTACATTACTCGAAGGATAATTGTACCGGCAAACACAAGTCGCACACTCATTAAAGATGGCTTCTGGAGGAGCCCAACTAGCGGATATGTTGGTCAAGTCAAACAGTACTGAGATAATCGTGCTAGAATCATGTCTTTATGCGCTTATTTTATCAGCGTTGCTTTTTGGAAATTTAATTACTCTGTTAGTCCTTGTTTTGAACCGTCGAATGCGAACAGTTCCTAACATGTTTGTGGCATCGCTCGCTATAACAGACTTGAGTGTGGGAATTTTTGCAAGTATTTTATCGTTTTATTCGGGAATAACTTCCCATTGGTGTTTTGGAGACGAAATGTGCCAGTTCCAGGGTTTTATATCGGTAACTTTTGCATTGGCCTCGATTCACACAATGGCATTGATGGCGGTGAATAGATATTTTCGAGTCGTCAAACCAGCAAAATATCGACAGCTCTTCACCAAGAAAAAAACGATGATCATGATTGTGACCGTATGGATTTATTCTATGTGCTCTCCTTTGTATTACATCCTCAGTGGGCAAAAAATGGTGTACCATCCTTTCAAGTATTTCTGTATTCTTCAACAGTTTGAAGGTAACAGATTATTTGAAGCCATTAAATCGGTAGTTTACATAGGTATTCCAAGCTTCGTAATATTTTTTTCCTATAGCAGAATCTTCCAGACAGTTCGTAACCATAACCTCAATTTCAGCCCCTCTAATGGTACAAGGAGCTCTGTGAACGTGGAGGAAATTAAAGTAACTCATACGTTGTTCGTGATCGTAGTTTGTTTTCATATTTGTTGGCTTCCTATTCTTGCCATTGATTTAGTCGATATAATTCACGGGAGATGGATTTCTCCTCGCGAGGTTTACCTTGCATATAGCTTCTTGGGCACTATAAGCAGCGCGGTGAATCCCATTATATTAGTTTTAATTAACAGAAAGTTTCGGAGAGAATATTTGAAGGTGCTTCGTTGCAGCTACTGCCTCAATCAAAGAGTCGCACCCATTGTTATTATTGGATAAAAGGCTGGACGCACACCTGGGTGATATTAAGAAAAACTTTCGGAAGAAATACTTGAAGGTGATTCGTTGCAGATACTACCGTTAGCAAAGAGTCGCACCAATCTCTATTATAAGGTTACTGCTGACTGCTGGGCACACAGTCGAATGAAATTAACAGAACCTTTCGGTCGTGTAATACTGTTTTGACAACTGCCTATTGACCACAACATGGATGTGCTTGGATGTGCAATACAAATATTAGCCAGAAAGTGTGAAATTTCACATT